GAATAAATGACAAGCACAGTGCCATCTGCATAATACATTAATGCTCTCTGGAATGCTGTTACATTTATTTTTTATTTTTTTATTATTTTTTTTTAGAGAGGGGAAAGAGTGAAAGAGGGGCAGGGGGAAAGGGGGAGAGAGAATCCTATGCAGGCTCCATGCCCAGCAGAGAGCCTGACTTGGAGCTCAATCTCATAACCCAGAGAGCTCATGACTGGAGCTAAAATCAAAAGTTGAATGCTCAACTGACTGAGCCACCCAGGCACCCCTCAGTCAACACATTTTAAATAATAAAATCAAATCAGAAGATTTTAGAGCTTAAAATAATTTTAACATCTGCAGTGTAGCAGAATGGTACAATTCAATTTGCCCAACTGAGTTGAATCTGGTTGAAGATTTTACTTCTTACTTAAAGGACCCTGCCATTGATCCAACTTGCAAACTTCTTTTCAGCTGTAGATATAATTTTATCTGGCCAGCATCTTGAAGACATTTACATTTCTATTTAGGTGGTGAGTGTCATTTGGAAGCAACCTAATCAAATGCCAGAGAAGGAATTTAATAGTTATACCTACAATAATATATAACTAGGTCATTCCTTAGAAATGTTACTCCTCTAATAAGTTTTTGCTAGGATTTGGAAACCCAAGGAAGTGATTTTTAAATGTTTGTAATCATTATTCACAGAAATACATATATTTAAAAAACACACTGTAGAAACCCCTTCATGGTAAATTAAACCTGAATTTCTAGAGAAACCTAGAAGCCTGAAAGAATTTTAAATTAGATTTGAACATAAACACAGAGTAGCCCTGTAGTTTGGAGAACACATGGCTGTGATTCAGACCACTACTCAGTTACACAGGAGAATCAATGCGTTGTGATTTTGATAGAAATGATAAAATGGAAACTACTGCGTAATCACACAGGAAAACACTTCTAAACACTTATAAGTATCATCAGTTATTATAGGTAAGGAAAAATAATATAGTAAGAGTAAGTAAAATCCTTTATGGTGGCATTTCCTTTTTTGCAGCTTGATTGTAAGAGGTCTGTACTATAAGAGAACAGTAATACTGAGAGGTTGTCAGGACTTGGAGTCTGTAATAAGGAATCTCTATTATTAAATAGAATCACACCCCAGGTGTGCCACATTCTAGCCAGGTAACATAACCCTTCTGTACCTTCATTTCCTCAGCTATAAAGTGAGAATAATAATAGGATCAGCTCACAGGGGTGTTGCATGAATTAAATTAGGTAAATACAATACAGCATTTAGAACACTGCTAAGGAATATAGTAAACACTCAACACAGACTTCTTTTTCCTCCTCTTTTTCTTTTTATCCTCCTCTTCCTCCAACTATTTTTTTTTTCTCCTCCAACTATTTGGAGATAGTTGTATAGCTGGAGATAAAATGCTATCTTTAAATTGGCTCTTCTTTTTTTTAAGATTTATTTATTTATTCATGAGACACACACACACACAGAGGCAGAGACATAGGCAGAGGGAGAAGCAGGCTCTTTGCAGGGAGTCCGGTGTGGGACTTGATCCTGGGACTCCAGGATCATGCCCTGAGCCAAAGGCAGATGCTTAACCACTGAGCCACCCAGGGGTCCCTAAATTGGCTCTTCTAAGTTTTTGTATTCCACCATCCACAATCAATCCATGCTATACCTCACCAAGGGGGGTGTGCACCCATTAGATACCATTCTCTTTGTTTAGGTTTTTTCACGTTCTTGTCTCCAAATTGTACATAGGTCTTAAAATTTCCACTCAATCCTTAAGCCTAATAAAACTTCCCCAACCCCAAAACTAGCCTGAAACTTCCAGAATCTCTACCTTGTTCTACTCTAAAGGTAGCAGGAAACTCAATTCACAATTGAAGATTCATCAGGAGTAATTTAGTAGACTGGAACTCAGTTTTGGATCCTGTGAATGAGAAACTCTGTTGTGTGCCTTTGGTGACCAGCTGCTCAGAAGTGTTTTCTACTCTCATATCAAAGATGAATGAAAATCTCCTGGAAAGCGAATGTATAATCATGTCAGCTATGGATTTCACCAGAAAATCAACTATTTTAACCCAAAGAAATGTTCTAGAAATACTGAGAGCCAAGGTAATCCAATATCTAAAAGCAGCATCATTAGCTTCTAGCTACATACTATTTTGAAAAATGTCATCCTTTTTTTTCCAGAAAAGTACAGACCCTTAAATTAAAATGCTTTTAGAAAAAAAAAATAAAATGCTTTTACAAACAGCAAATTAAATGAAATTAAATCAAGAAATAAAATGTGCTAAATTTCTTTGCAACAATACATAGCAAATTACAAAAATTTATTAGCTTGCTTTTAAAAAAATTCTCAATAAATGTGAGAAAACATTTACATTAGGCATCCTTTTTCATTATTAGCTCCATCTTGCAAAAATGTTTACCTGGATGGGGAAAGGGAGGATAATTCCGAATTCTGTTTTCAACATGTTTAATCAACTAATCAAGTTAGATTTAAATTGGCAATTCTTCCTTGCATCTTCAAATTCCATAAGATAAAAACAATGAAAGCATGCAATCTTAATGAAGGTGCTATAAAAAGTAATGTGTAATTTCCCTTAAGTACTGTTTTGAAAGAACTTTTTTTAAAGATTTTATTTATTTACTTGAGAGAGAGAGAGAGAGAGAGAGAGAGAGAGAGAGAGAGAGAGAGAGAATGGATCCCAGGACCCAGATATCATGACCTGGGCTGAAGACAAATGCTTAATCGACTGACCCACCGAGGTGCCCTGAAGGAACATTTATCTTAATTCTGGTTAGGTTGGTCTGCTCTAACTGTACTTTTAGAAAAAGTGCTTCATAAACAACCCTATACATGAAATGAGTTCCAGTATTTAGACACAGCTAAAGTCTTATTGCAATATTTTGGAATTCTGGGGGATACATGCTGCATGTTAATGATCTAATTATCATCTGAAAAGTCAACAGTCTATTTCTCTAGGATAACAAAAATGAAAGACGTCTTCCATTTACATCAGGAACTTACTTCACTTGACTTGTCAACATCATAAGGTAGTTCTAACACACTGCATTAAGAAAATCTTCAAAGTTCTAGGATTCTTTGCTTTGCTGCACTAAACAAAACTAAGGATTTTCCTTGGAATAATTGGTAATATTTTAGGGAACGATTTCCCAAAGTGTATTTCACAAAACATTAAGTCCACAAGATGAAACTTATAGAAAGGTTTTATGACCAAATTGTCAAGAAATGCCAGATACTAAATCTTTATCATTATTTTGAAGTTTCTTTAGAATATATGCTCCTTTAAAGCAGGGGATTTAGCTAAGTTTTGTTCACTTATGATGGCTCCAAGCATGTAACAGTGTCCTGCATTTAGGCATTTGGCAGGAATTAATGAATGAATAAACAAACGAACATTAAAAGTTTGAACAGGAAAGAAACTTCTTTAATTTCCTTTCATCCAGAGTATCTCATAGCTATTTATTCACATGAATCTTTTGATTTTTCTGTACCCATTACAGAATATTTATTCTAAATATTTAGAAAAAAGAGAAAAGAAAGCATAGAAATGAAACCATTACCCACCTTAAGAATTAAATGTAACAAATATAACAGAGGTCTCTTGGGAACCTCTCCTCCATTTATTCATGTCATACTATTCTCCCTCAAATAAGGTAATATCTTACTTTGGTGTTTAAAACTTCTGTTCACATGAAGCTAAGTGCATGCTGCTCTGAGAAATTCTGAACTGGTGAACTGTTAAAGTCCTCTCAAGTGCTAACATTTTAACTTATTTCTAGTTTGCATATGTGTTGCAAATGGTCATCTGTAAACTTATCCATTTATATCATTAATAGAATAATAAGTAAGGAATCAATGAAATAAAACATTATGAGACAGACCTAAGGCAATGGATAATTGATGTAATAATGATTATATGAAGAGGCTAAGCAGCTTATCTTTCAAATGGTTTGATATGAAATTTAAATATACATATGGTATATATATCTTATCATACAGTCACCTAAGAAAACATCAAAGTTTTGAAGTATTTGTTACGTATCCCAGGCTGAGTAATTTAGAAACTATTCCCTACTGTTACTAAAAGAAAAAAAATCCCTTAAAAAAATCTCATTTTGACTTAATAACAAAATCAGCTGGGGCTGCAAAAGTAAAACTGTGTCTAGATTAATGTCACAGTGTGGCCACATTTGCACAAAAGAGGCTGCTAAGAAGAGGATCACCTCGCCTTCTTGAGTTGAATAAACAATTAATGATAAAAAAAATCTCATCTATCAAGATCCAGGAAACTATGATAGAGAAGCACATATGAGCTAAGATAGTTTAATAGAAAAAGAACTACTTTTAAAAATTTAGGCAATATTTTATATTAGGCAATATTCACAGTCTTATTTCGGTAAAACTTTTCTTCCTCTAATCTTCAAGCACCATTATAGTTAGCTGTAAATTGTCTTAGAAAAATGTGAAGTATGTAACCACCTAAATGTTCTTTTTGCATATTTAATTTTTGTCCCTTGCTTCACATAAAAGGTAAAAAGGCCTATGAGGTATATTTCCATATTGTTCTATTTCTTAGTTTTATTTATAAAGAATATTGAGTATTCAACTTAAAGGGAAAAAAGATCCATTTGGATCCGATACCTGTGCTGTGTAGGTACTCAAAATACAATTAAACTCAGTAATAGTGCAAAAAAGAAGAGCAACATGTGTGGATAAATTTTCACTTAATAATTGGTCATTGGTGTCCTGCAGTTTTACAGGCAAACACACAGATTCGAATTTCATTCCACCATTGAAACCATGTCAATTTTCAAGGCAAGCATTAAATTCTTCCCATGTTATATATCAACAGAGATTGAAATACAACCTCACTCTATATTAGAAGCCCACAAATCCTTTTTCATATTTAAACAAATGAAATTAATTAGTATCTAAAGATATTAATAAAAGAAAAATATCAATTCCTACCTCCATTATCTTTTAGATGTAGTGCTATCTTGGTATCATCTGGAAGAGAAATTCAAAGTTATTGTAACAAAAATAATTTTTAATGGTGCATAAATTTGATGACTAGTAATTGTCTACTAATGCCTTTTTATAACAGGAATAGATTTCAATATCTTAGTTAATTTTCAGTGCAATGAGAGCAAAGTGCTAGTTTACATGAGGTAGTACTAAGATTTCTTACTGATTGTTAAGATCAAAACCTTAGTAAAGTATTATAAGATTTTTAAGATCTTGGGAAAAGTACAGTTATAATTTTAACTTAAAATGCACTATTTTTAATTTTCTAAAGTAACTTACTGTAATTAAACTCTAGTTATGGCCTTCTTTATTCATTTTAAAAAATCAAGATCAAGAGAATTCCAAATTAACTAGAATAGATCTTTCAATATTTACAAATTTAACTTCAAAAGTTAAATGCTTATTTATTGCTAATAAATATGACCAAAATCATATATGAAAAGACCATGCCCATAATGAACAAAAGGAACAAATCAGCATGCCTTTTTTTATTTTCAGTGATTATATTTTAGTCTAAAGAATAAGATTCAAATTTAAGGATATTTTCACAGGGTAGGATTCAACTACAGAAATATTTCACAGGCTATATAAACAACCCAAAATAATATAGATTAAAATATAATGTTGGTTTTAAAAGCAATAGAATGTATTTAGCAGCTGTCCTCATATCATTTTATAACTTTATTCCAGTTAACTTTTTCCAATATCCAATTAAATTTCAATTAAAAGTAAAACTTTCAAGTTTAATTTATTATTCAAATGAAAGCAAGGTTTATGACCCTAAATAAGTAAGACCATTTTTTCCCCTCAAAGTTTACTCTTGGCCAACTAGCCTCATTTTTCTCCTTAGGGGTACGACTCAGGATAAATGCCTATATTTTGGCTGATATACCTTCTTCCCCCATGAGTTGTGCCTATGTATTCTCTAGTATTTTTGTCTTCCCTGGTAGAGGAAATGTTTTTCAAGACAATTTCTGTGACATACACAGTGCCCCTCTATAGATTATAGACAAACACATTTTATTGTCTGTATTAAGGTAAATATTAGAACTGTGTATAAATAGAATTACCTATTTTCTCCATATGCATTTTGCCTTTCTCTCCTGTGACTGAAATGTTGAATTCAGTTACAAAAAAATTTAGCAATACAAAAGGACATCTCTATTTCTTTTTTAGGGAGGACAAAGAGCCAGGATCATAGTAAAAGCTAAATCTTAATAAAAGGCACTATACATTAAAAGAATCCCAACACATATTTTTATTCCATAATAATTTTGTCTTTTCCCCTTTAGAAATACAATTTGCCAAAGAATTACTTTCCTTCTAGAGAACTACTCCTGCACATGTCAACTTTTCTTCCCTCAGAAAAAGAGCAAAAATATCTAGAGCACCTTCTGTGGGCAGGCTGGTGGGCAGCTGGGATGTCACTGCTCTTCTGGTGGTCGTTAAGACCCTGAATTTTGTGGTTGTTGCTTGTACAGTTGTGGTGGTTTGAGAAGAACTTTCCATTGGCTCTGTGTTCTCACACATCTTCTCTTTGGACTAATAAGAGAAACAAATGAGAAAACAACTTAAGAGTGATTGTACATGCATTTAAAAAAGTCACATCAAAGAAGTTGGGTTGTAAAACACAAAAGGCTCTCAGATCAAGATGAGGAAGCAGTTATTTTTGTATAGGGCAGTATTTGTAGATTATAATAATTTACAAAGTATACAAAATAGATGAGGAAAAAACTGGATATAGCAAAGCATTTCCACCTTCAGATACTTGGATTTCATCATTCCTGCAGTTAACCTCTCACATTACTCTTTATCTTGCCCTACATTTTATACCAATTTATTTATAAAAGACATGATGTCAAGAGGGAGAAGTTCATACAAGAAGAAAATGTGTTCATAAAGAGAAGATTGAAAACACGGTTAGGGATGTGGAGAAAGAACGCAATTCAAACCGGTAATGTTAAATATTAAAAGTTTGGTAAATGCTTCATATTACTTTATTCTGTCAAAAATAATCCATCACAGGTTCAAAGAATATTTAAAAGTTTTGTTTTCTTTTATGAACTATTCAAAACCAGCCAAGCAAAAGATTGAATGGCTCTCCTGTAATCATTTAGCTTATTTCTCCCTAGCAGAGCTAGACTGAAGATACCAGGAAAAGATGAATATTTTATTTTTTATTTAGAGCCTGCAAAAATAAATACTCTGACCTTCAGCTGCAACGATCTCCAACACCCAAACTTTTATGGTTTAGAAGCTGCTGTTTGTCCTCACCTCTTTGTTCTTCAAAGGACTCTATCCTGTTGGTAGGTCTTAAGTGGAAGATAACTAGTCTGCACCTGGGCGGTACTCATCTCACTTTTGAAAATTATTACTAAATAAATTCCTTTTTTTAAAATTAAAAACTTTATCTATTCATGAGAGAGACACACACACACACACAGAGAGAGAGAGAGAGAGAGAGAGAGAGAGAGAGAGAGAGAGGCAGAGACATAGGCAGAGGGAGAAGCAGGCTCCCTGCGGGGAGACCAATGCAGGACTCAGTCCTAAGATCTGGAGAGCATGCTCTGAGCGGAAGGCAGACTCAATCACTGAGCCACCGGGCATCCCTAAACCAATTCTGTTCTTAAACTTCTATTGTCCTTAATGAAGTACACTGCACTAATCACTAATTCAGAAAAAGTTCCCGAGATGGCTTCCTTTTTTTACTAATGGGATATGATACAGGTTTCCTCCTTACTTCAACTCCCAATATCCTAGGGGTCATTCAATTCTCCAAACATAGGTGCCCACATCTTTTCAGCCCCAGTGGCCGAATGGTCTCCTCGCTAACTCCACATCAGTTATCACCCCCACAGCTGGACCTCATCAGCAGATGGAGATAGTTTTGTTTGAGATCATAGATCCAGTTGTCCTCTTTACAGTCTTTCCACATATCTTTTTGCTTCTCCTTTGAATAAACAGGAAGCCCAAGTGCAATGATTTTCACCACAAGAAAACTGACAAAGTTAGCAAAAACAATGAACAATATATTTAAAATACCAAAATCTTAAGATATTGTGGTCATCCAATATAAGATACATAAAAAATTATATATTAAATATTTAAAGAAATAAAATTTCAAATTGAACTAGTAACAAACTAGAAAAATGTCTTGGCAGATTTAATAAAGTATAAGCTTTAAATTTTAGAAATGAAAAATACTCTTTTTGACATTATTACTTCAATGAATATGTTTAATAGTGGATTAAATAAGATGAAGACAGAATTAATAAACTGGCAAATTGATTCAGATATCTTGCCTTGTTTTGCTTGTTTTTCCACAACACCTTTTCAGAAAATCCCCAATACCGAATGGAGTAAAAAAAAAAAAAAAAAGAAAAAAAAAATCTGCCTTTTCCCTGCCTGTAACTAAGCCAGGAGCAGCTGGAGGACAATCACGAGCCTCCCCCACCCCCACTGCGACCACCGGGAGCTCCTAAATGTACCTCCTGGGCCTCAGCGGGCTTTCCGTGATGCTTGGCAACACTGCCCTGCTTTGCTGGTATCCTCTGCCATCACTGTATCAATTTATTTTTCTTTTCCTTTTTTTTTTAAAGATTTTATTTATTCATGAGAGACACACAGAGAGAGAGGCAGAGACACAGGCAGAGGGAGAAGCAGGCTCCATGCAGGGAGCCTGATGTGGGACTCGATCGGGGATTCCGGGATCACACCCTGAGCAGAAGGGAGGTGCTCAACCACTGAGCCACCCAGGCGTTCCCCTGTCCTATCAATTTCAAACCCTCTCCACTCTACTGAAAACTATAATCCCATAATGCCTCTTCCAGTATTACCCCATGGGCTCACCTTTTATTTCCTTGATACGAATCATCAGCAAGAACTCTACATTTCTTCACAAATCAGCATCCTTGCTTGAATCTATACCGACCTATCCCTCTTTCTTTCTGTAATAATGGATGGGTCTCAGTATTTATAGCTATTCTCTCTACCTCTACTCTGGCCCAATTTAGCCCACTTACTCAGGTATGGTGAGTTTGCTCATTTAATGTCATCCTTTCTCTTCAATGTTTTCAATCTTGAGTTTTCTACTGCCTTGTTCCCATTAGCACTTACACACACTGAGGCATGCCCAATCTTATTTTAAAAACTCAGTCCTCCTCCTCCTCCACAATGCATCCTGACGTTCCTCTACTTTTCCTTCCATTTAGTCATACTTCCAGAGAGATTGGTCTGCCCTGGTCTTCACAGACTCTCATTTCCCCCACTTATGAAAATGTATCCAATACAACCTTATTAAAATTTCTTATGCTGGTGGTTCTAATATCTCCTTATGCACAAAATCGTCTTTATTCTCCATATCTCACAGCATGTGACATAGCTGTCCACTTTCTAGTTTTGGGTTCTGTGACACATATTCTCAGTCAACCCTTCAATCTCCTTCCCGCCTCACTTCAACCTCTTTTTTCAATTCTGATAGCTTTCTATAACTCCTTTATTTCCTTTTTATTTTTGTCTATTATGTGTTCGTAGTTCTTATAGATCTTTCTTGACTAATCTTTTTGCTATATGCATTCTCACTAGCAATTTTCAACCATGATTTCAATTCACATCTTTATGTTGATTTACATAAATCGATACCAACAATACACATCTCTCTCTTGGATTTCTGACCCAAATATTCATCTATTGACTTAACATATGCATGTGGGTGTCACAGACATCTCAAATTCAATACATCTCAAATAGAACTTGCCACATATTATTCTCCCCCTGTGTTTCTATTGTCAAAGACCAGTATTAGCAAACACTCTAATGTTTAAGGTAACATCCTGAACTTGTTTCATTTATAGCAGTAAAGGCAGATTAAAGACTCTAAATGGTCCTCCTTCTACAAAACAAGTAGATTCTGGATAAAATTAATTTATCGTTACTAGGATTTGCAGGAAGCAAAGAAAATCTCCAATGGTACATTTTTATTGTCTCTCCCCCAAAACAAAGCAAAAGCTATGTGCTATAGAGTAAGAGTCTGATACACATTAAGCAGGGTAAAAATGCAGGATTTGCCCAGAGGACAAGAAATGTTAAAACCCAATAGTGCTTCAAGGAGATCAAGCCTTGTGCCAGCAGGAGATGGCTGAGATAAATCTAAACATCTCCTCTCTATATTAAATAGGGACATATGGTATCCCCTAAAACTCTCAGGTTCTCATCAAACATTCTTTGGTGGAAAATACAATCTATTCAGGTCCCAGGGATTACCATGGAATAAGATCAAATAAAAATGCAATCCTAATTAAAGGACACAAAAAGAACAAGAAAACTGACAAAGTTAGCAAAAACAATGAACAATATATTTAAAATACCAAAATCTTAAGATATTGTGGTCATCCAATATAAGATACATAAAAAATTATATATTAAATATTTAAAGAAATAAAATTTCAAATTGAACTAGTAACAAACTAGAAAAATGTCTTGGCAGATTTAATAAAGTATAAACTTTAAATTTTAGAAATGAAAAATACTCTTTTTGACATTATTACTTCAATGAATATGTTTAATAGTGGATTAAATAAGATGAAGACAGAATTAATAAACTGGCAAATTGATTCAGATATCTTGCCCTGTTTTGCTTGTTTTTCCACAACACCTTTTCAGAAAATCCCTACTGTTGATTTGTTTGATTTAAAGAAACTACCCAGGACAACACAGAGAAATAAGAAAATAGATGATATAAAAGAGGAGGTTAAAAGATACAAGGAAGTGATAAGAAGGTCAAGACTATCTCCAAAGAGTCCAAAAGGTGAAAATAAAGAGGATGGAGAAAAGTCTGATTAAATACTACATTACTAAACTTGACACCCAATTGGTTAGAAAACACACATTCTTTTTGAGAACATGTAGATAATTTGCACAAATTGCCCATGTACTATTCCATGAACAAGTTCCAACGAATTTTGAAGATACATATACACAAAAACTAACCAGGAAATAAAAGATTGATTGATTTGGTACCTTAGATTGATAATAGATGTCAACTAAATAAAGTCATGGAGAAAATGAAAAGAGAAGACAAAATCTGGGGAGATACATACAACTGGAGATACCAGCTAAGTAAGAATACAACAAAAATAAATAAAAAGGTATAAAGGATAGTAAGAATCAAAACTCTCATTTTGTAAAAAGATTTATTTGTTTATTTGAGAGAGAGAGAGCAAAAGTGGGAAGGGGATGCCCCCAAACTATTATTATTTCTAGATTATTACTTCCAAAACTCTCATTATTTTTAGGTGATAAGATTGCTTATGTAGAGAGCCACCAAGTATCTTGATACATATTTTTAAATTAGTAAGAGAGTTTTATAAGGTGGCTATATATCAGACCTATAATGTCTATTACATACTATCAATGGATATTTACTGTCTGGAATAAAAAGAGAAAGATAATTACTCAATAGAAAAATCACAAAAAGATATGAAGAGGCATCTCACAGAAAAGGAAAGGCAGAAGGAGATACACAGAAGCCAAAAAGAATATGAAAATACATTCAATTTCTTTGATAATTGGTGAAATGCAAATGAAGTTCCTGATAAGATACCATTTTATACCCATTAGATTTGCAGAAATGAAGAAATCTGACAAAATCAGAGTTGTAGGGATCATGAAATAATGGGAGCCTGTTTGAGTTCCAGCATCGTGCTGGTAGTGGAACATGGATAAACTGGAAATAGTTTGACATTATCTTCCAAATCTGAGCATTTACCTAACTCACAATGACTAATTCCATTCTTAGGAATATTAGAGAAACTTGTGTCCATTTGATTCAGGAGATAAGCATAAGACACTTCTGTCAGAAGAAAAATCTTGAAACAAATGTCCATAAACCAAAGACTGAGTGAAAAAAATATGATTGTGAGAATGTAACCTCTAGTAAGGCAGAGTTTGGTAACTTGCTTTGAATTGTCAATTTTTTTCCCTAATTCCATTCTAGTACCTAAAAAAAATGCCTGTGACATCTTGGGCATACAATAAGTATTTGGTAAGTGAATGAATGGCATAGTTTTAAAAAGATTTAAAAAATTTTTTTGAACCAGTTAGTGGAAGAGCAGAGCTCTGCTACTGAGCCCAGAGCCTGAGGTGGGTCTCGATCTCACGATTCTGAGATCATGACCTGAGCCAAAATCAAGAGTCTGATGCTCAATGGACTGAGACATTCAGGTACCCCGTGAATTAATGGTACATTAATAGCATGGAATATATTGCTATGGAAATTAAAAAATCACCATCATGGCACCAATACAGATAAGTGTTAAAAACAAAATCCTGAGTGATAAATTAAAAATTCAGAATAGTTTTGTTTGTTTTGAATAGGGAAGAGCACAGATGCAAAAGAGTAGGAGCTAATAGCCAGTTTCATAGTCCCTGGTAATCTCACTCATATATTGAGTAGCATGATCACAGGGCTTCATTTGCTCAATGTGTTTCAGAGTTACATTAATATTATACAGTGTTAAAAAGATTTTTTGAAGGAAAAGGATAAAGAGAATTTTAAAACACTTTCACAGTCTTCATTTCCATTCAGCTACCTAACTACTGATCCTTCCCTCCATCTCTTCTGTGGTCACCACTCCCTACCCACTGATTTAGGCCAGATCATCAGCATCTCTGGCCAGGGCTATTACTATAGTCGACTTACTGGCTTCTCGCCTCATAACCTATTATTCACCCATAGCTGGGTGATTCTTCCAAAAAGCCACGATTAAAATCCTTTCCTTGCTTTTATATTTCAAATTGAGATATAAGATATACATATAGCAATATATTAGTTTCAAGTGCATGACATAATGATATTTCTATACATTGCAAAATGATTACTGCAGTAAGTCTACGTTACATCTGTCATCATAATTACAAAAAGTTTTTTTGTTGTTGTTGTGATGAGAATTTTTAGGATTTACTCTCAGTAATTTTCAAATTATGTGACAAAGTATTATTAACTATAGTCACAATGTTATACATTAAATCCTTAGGACTTATTTATTTTATAACTGGAAGATTGCACCTTTTGAGCCCCTCCTATAATTTCTATCCACTCTCACCCCTCATCTGTTCTCTATCTATGAGTTTGGTTTTTTTTTGTTTTTGTTTTTGTTTTGTTTAGATTCCACAAATAAATGAGATCATACAGTATTTGCCTTTTCTATCTGATTTATTTTATTTAGCATAATGCTCTCAAGATCGTTCCATATTGTGACAAATGGCAAGATTTCCTTCTTTTTATGGCTAAATAATATTCCATTGTATGTATATGTGTGTGTTGTGTACATTCATACACATACACTACACTTTCTTTATCCATTCATTCATCAATGGACACCTAGGTTATTTCCATATCTTGGCTATTATAAATAATGCTGCAATCAACATGGGGATGCTGTTATATTTTTGAGTTAGCGTTTCATTTTCTTCTGGTAAATACCTGGAAGTGGAATTGCTGGATGATATGATTGTACTATTTTTAGTTTTTGAGGAAACTCCATACTTCCCTTGTCTTTAGGGTAAAGTCCAAACTCCTTCAGCTTGTCATAGTTGGGGCTCTGTTTACCTCACCCATCTCACTTCTCATCACTTCTCTTCTTAGGTCCAGTTATCCTTCATCTCAAATATCTCCTCTTTAAGCAAACCTTACCTTATGCTAATTACCAACACCACATCCTTATAATTACTCTCTGTCCATGTGCTTCTCTAAATATAGCCCTTTGTTCTGGGTGTATCTACCTGGTGGACAAACTTCTTCCATTTTTACATTATTTATGCTTAGAACAGTTTATAGTAAGTGCTCATATTAGGATTTGCACTCATGGAGTAAATTCATCTCACTGGATCAGAAAGAAAATCTAACTCTAGTTTTAGGCACAGAAGATGGACTGGAGTCAGTGACTTTTAGAAGGACAGAATTGCTCAACACAAAGCCACTAATATTGACAATCTTACATAATTAAAAGGGAACACTGAATATTGAAAATACTTGACTCTGAGATCCTTGGGAATAGGGGGTAATTTTTTTTTTCTTTGCAATTTTAGTGCTTGGCACATTCCACCAGATATAGTAAACTCTCCACAGATATATTTTGGACAGTCTAAAACATGATGGCTTCTTCTCTATTTCCTTGGTTCATGGTGGGCAAGAAAATTACGATGTCTGAATTACACTCTCGATCTTTACCCAACTATTGCTATTCAATTTCAACATTTTCATTGAGGTAAATATGATTACATGAAAGAAACATCAATCTGAAAACACAACCATCTCTCCAGCAGTACATTTTCACTTTGAATGATGTTGTTCTATAAGTGAAGTGAAATAGATAGATTAGTGTGTATCACTGTAATCTCCCAAACGAATGTCAGAAAGTTGATTAAAGCTGCATTGGCAATACTGCACTTAAAAATCAAGTATATTCTCAAAGATGTTTTTCTAAAGATATTTATATTTATAGGACATCATAAATGATAAATGAACTTAGTTTTTAAAAAAGGCTCTAATAACCATTGGTCTCCCAATAGTTTTAAAGAGAGCACTTTCACATCGTTTGCTTTTCCTGAATGAGAAAACTTGTGTAATTGTTAAGAGTTTTCATCAAAAATTCACACCCCAAAACTTAACACAGGCAGAAAAAAACAAATACTTTTCTTTGTGACCCTAATAGGATATGTTCATGGGACCTGAAATGACAGTGTAAATACAATTCACTAGAAAATTTTAAACAGGATAAAATTGCTTCTGCGATTGCATACACCTGCTTAAATCACGTCCTTGCATCACTGTCTCCATCACCTTTGTCTCAGGGTTATTGTATCCATGTTATACTATTTCTAACTTATTTTACATTAGTTTGCTGCAATCAGTCTTTTCCTCCATACCACTGGTTTTGTAACTCAAGCAAAAAGGATGAACAATGGCTTCCGAGATCTTAGAAAAGCAGTAAGTGTTTAAGAGAATTGCCTTTTGCTTGTAAGATTCAAATTCTGGTTCTATTTCCTAGCCACACACCTAACTCTGATATCCTCAACGCCCCCGTCCCCACCATCTCCCCTCACCTCTCCCTCTTCTCTTAGTCATATGGAGGTGATAACAGCACCCATGTCCAAGGAAGGGTATGAGACTAAATTGAGATAAACATGTGGCACATATTAAGGGCTCGATAATTGCTGGATATCTTTGTTAAATTAGATGTCATCTTCATTAAATGTAGCAGCTCTATATGGCAGCTTGGTCCCAAGAATCTTGTCATGAGAAAGCACATGTACCTCTTCAGGGCATCCGCTGTCCACCCAGTCCTGCCGATGGCGATCGAATCCACTGGAACATCTTCAGAGATGACACATAGCAGTTCAGAAAAGACAGTAATAGGGTGCAGAGTTGGGGTCGGAGGAGGGTGAAATAAAAAGAAAAAAATTGATAAGTAGCCAATTCTCAAATTTTCTCTTTAGCACAACATAAACTTTCTTTTATAGAATTGTTAACAGGAGTGACAGTGAAATATTTACAATGTGGTGAGTAACAACTCACTCCTTAGGTAGTCATGCTATTAGGATCACTTAGAGCAGCAAATTATTCCACTGATGCCCACTACACTGTGCAGAACACCTGGGTCCCCTTGCAAACATAAGGCCAATTGTGATCCTATGAAGTTGGTTTTCTTTTTACTCATACTTTTTTTTTCCTCATCAGAACAAATGGATATAGACAATTTTTTTGCAGGTATCATATTTTAGGATTTCAGATCTCTATTTGTTTTCCTTATTATTATTATTTTTTTAATTTAAGACCCGTAGTCACTCAAACTCTCTATTGTGAAGTAGAAGTTTAACTCAGCAGAATTGGGGTGTTCAAACCCTCACATTCTAAAGAAAAAACTGGCTCTCTCTGGCTCCTGGGAGATAATCTCCAAGCCATTGGGATATCGCACCTGATAAGAGTGTCTTTGTAAATCTTGGGTTTGGGGCTTTGCAAGATAGTTTATGCTAACAAGATGCTTTATGCTGAATGGATGTTTTTATTCATCTGGAGACTGGGGCCAGGCTGAATCAGTTTGACCTCTTGGAGGGGCTGAAGATTAGTGATGAGAACAGTCCTAGAGAAATTCATACTTATCTGCCTGACCCTCAATAAAAACCCTGGACACCAAATCATGGGTAGGCTTCCCTGGTTGGCAACACTTGGTGTGTGTTTTCACGAATTGCTGCTGGGGGACTTAAGTGCTGTCTGTATAACTCCACTGGGAGAAGACAACTGGAAGCTTGTGTTTGGTCTCTTGTGGACTCTACCATACGTATGTATTTTTCACCTTTACTGATTTTAATCTGTATCCTTTTGCTATAACAAATGGCAACCTTGAGTATAAGAGCTTTTGGGGAGTTCTGTGTGTCCTTCTGGTTAACCAGTGTACCTGAATGTGTTCTTATGAACCCCTAACAGCACTATGCTTAGGTCATCCCTAAAAGGTCTAATTCAGCAAGCACTGGGTTAATAAGATTTTGTTTAGTTCTACTTTCTTCCTTGATTGGAAAAATTTTCTGCCTTCTTTCTCTACCCAGCTATAGTCCATTTATTATTTTAAGACCCAGCAATTATTATCAGAGTCCATCCTGATAATGCTTCATAATTGCTGTGATCACATCTTATTTTACTATTTAACTTTTCCCTTTTATATAAAACTTCATGTACTTATGTCTTATTTATGAAACTTGATTGTGAACATTTTAAAGTTAGGGCTGATATCATATAAAATCATACTTAGTATATCTCACACATAATTTCTGTTTCATGTTGGAAATTCAAAAAAATGTTTGCTAGTCTGTTAAAATTAAGGATTTGTATAACTCCTGAATTTTACATCTAGGTATATATTTATATATGGTACATTAATCCATACTGATAAATATTAATATAAATACCTATATGTTTTTCACAATTAATGGAGGTCATTCAACTTTGCCTTATGTTTTCTTATAGTCTTACTTTGCAACTTTTTTTTAAAATTTGTTTTGCAATGAACGAGTCTACATGATGACTTTTTCTAAGAATCCTTGCCAGAGATTATGTACCATGGCATGGATGAGCATAATTTAATTCAAGTGGAATGTGAAAACATCTCTACTGTCAACAAAGAAGACTGTATCTATCATTTTGCCCGAACATGATCCATTAGAGCTCTGCTGTTTTATGCCTACCATCTGTGTTGAATAAACTTAAGTGTGGAATAAACATCAGTGTGTGATCTGGCATCCCAAGTGTGAGAATCCCCAGTTGATCAAGGCCATCATCTCTGGTTACCCAGAGATTCTGACATTTGAAGCTTGTTTAATTCCAGAGGAGTTAGATGGCTATTCCCTCTTCTCCTTTTTTCCTTTCAAGTTTGTTTAAATATTGAAAAATGTATTGACATTTCCTTTTGCCCTGAGGATATATCAATTTTCTAAAAAAGTATATTTTGGGAGTCACCTGATCACAAGTCATTTTGAGAGCTACAAGTAAATAAATGGAACAGATAATTTTTAAAGTGCGGTTTGTCTTCACTTACTCTATTCCAGATATATTCAGAGTCAGTGGGAATTAATAACCTTTATCTTATATTTAACAAGACAGTACCGTATCTTAAATTTACGGGTCAGTCAAAATTTCATCTTAACTAATTAGTCCTTTAAATTGTTATATTAGGGCAGCTCAGGTGGCTCAGTGGTTTAGCGCCACCTTCAGCCCAGGGCCTGATCCTGGAGACCTGGGATTGAATCCCGCATCAGGCTCCCTGCATGGAGCCTGCTTCTCCCTCTGCCTGTGTCGCTGCCTCTTTCTTTCTGTCTCTGTCTCTCATGAATAAATAAATAAAATCTTTAAAAAAATGTTAAATTAATCCCAGGAAAAATACAGAAAGTGCATTTTGCTTGATTTATTAAATAAACCCACAGTTATATTGTATGAAATTAGGTTCCACTGGAAATATGTGATTCAATTAAGTAATTCATCCATTTATTCACAACTGATTCCCTATTAACTGATTTTCAGTTTACTAATTGCTAGGGTACGAAGGATTGAGAATGGTAGAACATGAAAACATTTGATTTGAAAAAGTAATGCATTTTGGTAACGTACAGTGCCTTAGAAAATTCACATGACCAGACATGTCATGTGAATTTTAGTTTTCTTTCTAACCTAGTAATCTATATTACAGATCTGAAAGCAATTATAAACAAAAGGTTGTGTATTTGTGTGTGTGTGTTACAAAGACACAAGAAAGTGTTTCTTAGTGTTACTAAGAAAAATCACCTTTCTATTATCTCTGAATTTTAAAATACCAAAAATCCCCTTTAAGAACACCTTCCTCTCTCCATTGAGCCGCTGCATTGTTTTTTCTAAAACCCAATGATATTAGCCATATCATGCTCCAGCATATTGATTTCCTGACATTCTTTTTTTTTTTTTAAGATTTTATTTATTTATTCATGAGAGACACACACACACACAGAGAGAGAGGCAGAGACACAGGCAGAGACGTGGGACTCGATCTCGGGTCTTCAGGATCACGCCCTGGGCCGAAGGTGGCGCTAAACCGCTGAGCCAGCGGGACTGCCCGATTTCCTGACATTCTTAACACTGTGAGCAGAGAGGCTCTCTCCTACCCTGGAATCACCTAGTATTCCTGTTGAAAGCAAATTCATGAATGTAGCTGAATAAGATTCTCCGGCAGTTTGCGTCCAGCAATTTTCATTGCAAACAAGCCACCCCAGGTGATTCCTGAAGATTCACCACTGACTTCGTGTATGAAATGTCAACATGGCAGTGCCCCTCCACTCCTCCTGTCCATCCTCTACAACCTGTTCTAATGCCCCTTTAGTGCCCATGCCTAAATGTGCTGAGCTCTTTCATCTCTGCCTTTGAACCTGCTGTTACTTATCTCTGGAATAGCTTCTTTGTTTCTAATTAGTAGATCCAATCCAACTCCAGCCTGTCTCTTCCCACCCCCCGACCAAGAGAGAGCAATCTTTTCTCAGTGCCTCCCCCAAACAAGTGCCAGCATCTATCATTACACTCTGATTGGTTGCTTTTAGCTTACTTTAGACGTCAGGAGTATAAGGCCCAAAGTGGGGGTGGTGGAGGGTAGAGTCAGACTGCTTGAGTTAGAATTCTGTTTTGGGCACAAAACAGGAATGAGATCTTAGGCAAGTTATTTTTCCTATCTAAGCTTGTTTCCTCATCTGTAAAATAGGGTAATGGAATTTATAAAGTATTAAACATTTAGTAAATATCAGATGTTCTTAATACCTTTATATATATTTGTAATATATGTATAGCAAGTCAACAATTGTTGAAAATGAGTAAGTGAAATTCTCATTTTAGAGACAGCATTTTGGAAAATATTTAGGAATTGATTCTGTGTACCATATTAATGTGATATGTGCTCTACACTTAAAGTCCTCAATCATCACATTTGGGAACTAGTATTATAGCATGTTATGAGAGGAAATCTATGTTGCTTTCGAACATAGGCCAAATCTTTATGCAGTATTTATAGAGATGACATTGTTTTGTTAATATTCCTCAAAATGAGTTTCTTTCTTTTTTTTAAGGTTTTTATTTATTTATTCATGAGACACACATAGACAGAGAGAGAGAGAGAGAGAGAGAGAGGCAGAGACACAGGCAGAGGGAGAAGCAGGCTCCATGCAGGAAGCCTGATGTGGGACTCCATCCCGGGTCTCCAGGATCACTCCCTGGGCCAAAGGCAGCACTAAGCCACTGAGACACCAGGGCTGCCCTCAAATTCAAAATGAATTTCAATGAAGTCTGAACTCCTAACTGTGAGAGGTTTCCCATGTTTTTATTTTCAACTTCTTCCCTTCTTCTCAGCATTATCTAATTCCAAAACAAACTGATGGAGAGCTGTACTTCAAATTAATTGTACTATTCTCCACTGAGTTTCAATGGGTGTTAATTTCAAAGCCCCAAGGAATCATGTTAAGTGAACCCCACTTAATAAGGCAGCCTAGAAGACAATACCTTCCTAGCTTTCAGCATCTATCTAATCAAGGTATTAAAGTGTAAATATTATCTCTTCTCTAACTTATCTCAGTTCTATAGAAAGGGTTTCAGAATATGACTTATTTTGCCAGGATAATATATTCAGGTAAGTGTTAAAGTACATACATTAAGGGTTAAACATAAAAGGCATCTCTTACTGAACAATGAAACACATGTCATTTCACCAGTGAGATGAAACATCTGCAAAAGAGAATTTGGGAAAGAAACCACAGAATCTTAAGACTTGGTTAGGAATTAGTTTCTAGAGCAGGAATCAGTAAATGTTTTCT